TGTTTATTATGGGGCTCATTTCGGTTTTATTTTTTCTCTCCTCCTCGTACACAAACACGCACACTCACGTTTTTCTTAAAGCGTGAAAAAATTTTACTTTCCTATTATTTTGGAAATGATCTTTGGTAAAAGTTGAGTTTAACTCTCTAAAACAGAAAAGGAAGGAAACTCATGCATTCTTTTTCCCCAATCTCATTTCCTAAAAGAGTTTTACTTTTATTTAAAATCTTTTTCAATTTATTAAATTGTTTTTGAAACAAATTTTTTTTTTCTCTCTCCCTACATCCTTACTTATCGCCATTAGAAATCTGCAAATTTGTTGAATCTAACTCATATTCTCTTTAATCATAGAGATAATCTGCTATCACTAAGCATGGGTTTACTTTTATTTTTCAAGATTTAAGAACAGGTAGCATAACGAAAAAAATTGGCAAAGATGCCAAAAATAAAAGAATGCGCAAAAATGCCAATTGAAAATATTGGAATACACAAAGTGTATCAAAAGATCACAGTGCGGCCAATCAATTGTCAAGAGGCCATTAAAATGAGCCCAAAATTTAATGCCAACCTTTTTTGTTTTGTCTTTAAAAGCTTAAGAAAAACCCTTCGTGGTACTTCGATAACTTGGTTTTGAAAAAATCTGGATTCCTGATTCAAAAATTCTGCTGCATTGATTTCTCTTTTAGATATATTTTTATGGAAAGAGTTTTTGAAATAATGATTGTTTCTTTTCCCAAATTTATTTTATGATTTGGATATATGAATTAAAAAGTTTTTGAGCCTTTTTAAGAAACTTGAGTTTGGATTTTCTAAATTCTGCAATTTCTAACATTTACTGGGATATGCGTTTGTCCAATCCAATTCTACAAGATTGTGTTAAAACCTAAACGGTACCTTTCTCATTTTTAAGATTTTTTTTCTAGATTTTGAAAGTTTCTTTTTGTTTTCTGTGCCTTTTCTCTTTTGACTAATTTCAAAAGGGGAGAACGTACTTGTATCCCTTATTTTCTTTTCAAAAATTTAAAGCCTACAAAAATATTTTTATCTCTCCTATTTTTAAAAGGGTTATTCTAGTGAGGGGGAGATTAGGAGAAATTGCTTTTTTTGAAAATTCAAATTAAAATGTTTTGCCATCATCAAAAAGGGGGAGATTGTTACAGATCTATGATTTATGATTTTTGATGATAGAAAACATTCCTTATTTCTCAATGATTGCCTTATGTGCCTAACGTTTCAGGTCCACAGATCAGACTACAATCTGGAACGCGCTCAAGATGGGTAGACTAGGTCTGTGTCAGTTTGTAATCTTTTTCCTTTCTTGAGTCTGTTGTATTGGTGTGGCTTATAACTTGGTAGAAATTCTCTTGCTCCCTATATGATTTCTTTTTTGGTAACATCGGCCAGGACGATCGTAAGATCGGCCTGGAAGATCTGTCCAAAATCAGAAACCCTAGTAGGCATCCTCATTAAGGCAGCCGTCAATAATCGGCCTGGACGATACTATAATCGGCCAGGACGATAATCTCAATTCAGAAAGAATCAACCGCCATAATCAGTTTAGGAAGTCTTTGTTTTAGGAAATCGGCCCGGACGATATTATTATCGTCCAGGACGATTAACTCAATCATGCCTAAATTGATCTTGGTATCTTTGGAAAGCATTTAATTGGGTTGATTGATACGATCACACATCGTCTGGGACGATCGTATGATCGGCCAGACGATGGCTGGACGATTCTATATCGGCCAGCTCAAAAACAGGCGCGATGATCAGGACGATGAAATCGGTTTTAAACTAATCGGCCATGACGATCGTAAGATCAGCCTGGACGATGTAACCAATTTTCTCTAATCGTCCCATATCGTCCCAGGGCTAATGAGCTTAATTTGTACTGATCGGCCAGGACGATATACCTATCGTCCTGACGATAATGTCGGCAACTTGCATTTAATGAGCTCGTTTTGAGAGCCTCTATTTAAGCTATGGCAAGGCACTTTGTAAGTGTCTTTGGCACCATTGTAGCTTCGTTCTTGTGGGGAAACTAGAAGGAGAGCTAGAAAGGGAGAGAGGAAAGGGTGGAGTTTGAGAGAGCGGAGAAGATCCTGTGAGGGGGGACTCAAGGGAGTGTGGAGGGGGTTCCACACGGTTGCTCCGGCGAACTCGCACCTTAGTACCATCGGATTCAAGGCTTGTCTCGCAGGTAAGTTTAACCAAAGAAGAAGTTCTCTTTGGTGTCAAAGGACCGGCGACTCCGCCGCACCGGGGAAAGTGGAAAGTGATTTTGTAAGGCTTCTCCGCCTAGCCGTGGGGGCTAAAGGAGAGGACACTAGTAGTGCAATACTTGGGGGGTGCCTCAAGGAGTGGACGAGGTTTCAAGGTTTGACCGAACCATATAAATCGGTGTGTTCTTTCTTTTTACTACTTCCGCGTTTTTAATTCTGCATCTTATTATTGTGGTGATTTGGATTGTGTTTTGGTTTTAAAGTTTTCCAATTCACCTCTCTCTTTAATTAGCTTGGGACTAAGTTCAAGAGGGCCTAACATCCCTAATGAACTTTCAGATACCCCAAATTAATGCTGCTACTATAAGCTAGATACTGCATATCTACTGATATGACGTATTCATCGATGGCTAGCCTTAATCAAAAGTTCTCTCCCGTGATCGAGAGGGGTAATTAACTGTAGGGGTTTGCGCCTATAGAAAACTAGAACTTAGATCATAAAGTCCTCGGAAAATGAGGGCGAAATCTTTGGGTAGTGTATTATCTTAAATCCTAATATGTCTTTCCAAAATTTACCCCGAAACTTAATCGATTAAAACTCCCGAGCAAAATCACAGGCATGGGGAGGCCGAGGCATGAATTTTCGATGCCCACACACTCCAAAGAAAAAAAATTAGTTTTATTTTGTTGCTTTTGATTGATAAAGGCTAGGTTTTTGGATTCTTTGAAGTTTAAAAAAAAAACTTGCAAATCTTCACAGATTATATTCAACTTAGCTTCTGGCTGCAACATTTTTATAAAATTGATCATCAAGGTGCTTGGAGAAATGAAATTAACTATTCTAATTACAAACATTATACACAATTCTGAAAAACAAAGGAAAAACGGGAATAAAGTTTATGATTACTATCCCAAAAATAAAACAACGAAAAGTTATCCCAAATAGATCCTTAATCTAAACAATCCAAATACTACTTTTTTGGACCAAATTTGAGCAAACTTGTACATTTCAAGGAACCAGTTGATTTGAAACTACTGAATTCAGCACAACCATAGTGATTTCTTCAAGTGTACAGAAGCTGATTTAAATATAAGTTGTGGGAAATTTGAAGTATTGCTACACGATAATTTACACAGAAAAGTATTGGTTATGCTTGATTGAATTCCATAGCATAATCTCTACTTGGTTTCTATGACAGCAATGAGGTTTGGTATCAACAAGAAGCTAGCATGTCAAGGTTTCCCCGCCTAAGATCACTCGATGCAATGTGGTAGTGAATTGAGCCATTCAAGAAAAAATTAAAGAATAGAAATTTAAAATTGTCAATCAGAAAATTGCAACCAAAGTTTTAGCCCTTGTACACACTAATGGCAAAGAAGTGCGCAAAACAACTTTCAAGAACAAAATAATGTGCTTCAAGCTAATGAAAATCGTAGGTCATGCAGATTATAGTTAAGATAGATGTGATATAAAGATTAACTTATTCCTACTCTTCAGATTCAATTCTTATTGACATTGGATTAAATATACATTTGTGGTGATATGGGACTCATCACAAGGCTCCTTCAAATAAAAATCTATTAAGGTCATACATTGAGGAAAAGTATCGAATAACTATTTGTTCTATTTCTGTCTAGTAAATACATGCTTTGAATGACGTTATTCTATGTACTGGTTTCATTCAAATTTGGCTAAGATAATTAGATCTTCAAAGCTCAAAAAAGAGAGAGAACTTTGTCAATTCAATTTTTCATTTCTTCAATCCATTTTTTGCCAGTATTACTGTGCAGAAACTTCCATCATTGGAGACTCCATTTTCTTTGGAGATCTTTTTTATTATGCTGTGCAGAGGCGATTTTGTTGTTTGTTTCATTGAATCCATCCTTTAAATAAGATGAAGTTCAAGTCTTGAAGGCTCAAAATATTTTTGGAAGAAGGCCTTCCTCATCTCATGCTGAACAGCTAGGGAACAAATCCGAAAACATTATTTATCTGACTTTATTTGTTCTAGCATTTTAACAACGTCAAACATGGTTGGCCTCTTCGAGGGGTCTGGATCTAGACATTTGTCTGCAACTGCAAATACTTCCTTGACTTCTTCTGTGGGAAAACATACTAATCCACTATCAATTGCATGCTCCTCTCTCTTTTCTTCCATTACTCCTTTAACCTGTCATAAAATTAGTGAAGTAAGAAGATATCGCAATGGCCTCACGTTAACGGGTAAAATTATAATACATCTCACGTGGTCGAGAAATTTTCAACAAATATCTATATAATCAATATTGAGGATTCAATGCAGATACGATATTTGCATTGAAGAATGACTTGGGAAAATTGAGACAACATGAAACCTTAGTTTTCTATCTTGTAGTATCTTGCAATTAATGGCGGGGCTTCTTTAGGAATGAAAATATTGTTCCATTCTTTTGTTTGTCCTGGCAATCCTATAGGACTATCTAAAAACCATAAACTTTTTTAAGAATTTGTCAATACCCAAGATGCGAACATATTTGAGATGCATTGGAACAGCACAACATATTAGGGAAACTTATTCTTTCATAGAAGATATGCAACAATATTAGATAGAATGTATTGAAATTGAACACCTAGGGAGTTCTTTGGTTGGGCGATTGAAAATTTTTATAAAAAGTGAATAAAACAATGAAATTATGCCTGTTAAAATTTTTATGATCTTTCTGTTTTGTCTATTGTTGTTTAGTAGTATGAAATTATGTTGCTGATACGTGACATATATTTACTCTTGGAGGGAAAAAGGTTTGGGTAGTATATTTTCTATCTTCATATTTCTTTAAGTAGTCATCGAAAGATGTTTCTTCAATATGTAATGAGCAAAGAAAAGATTTATATTTCTCTCTCCTTTCACATCTTTTCTTTATTAGTTTCTAACTTTTTCATGCATAATTTGTGTGAAGTCCTTAGGATATATATCCCGGAGGACATATATTTCAAGATGTTGTAAATGGCCATACCTCATGACCTAATTTGTGAGTAATTGGTTTCATGAAAAATATTTTGCATCTAATAGCCCTTGAATTCCCAACAAATTATTCCTTTAGATGTCATCTTTTGTTGTGTATTGGTCCAATTTTAGTTTATGATGTTTCGCAAGACACCACACCAATGTGAATTTCCTATGAATAGTGGTTGTAGGATGATGTATATAATGTGCCCTCGTCAAGATTAATTGAATAAAAACTCCTTTTCCTTACCTCTCTCTCTCCCTCTCAAGAATACTTGTTCTTTCTCAGGAAAGAAACATAACAAGAGGTATCAGAGCTTGGTGGAGCTGATCGGGCAAAGGAGGAAGAAGACGGTTCTTGTAATCAAGAAAGAGACAAAGGAGGAGGAGGTTCCCTTTGGACAATGAGCTGTTCACGTGGAGAAATCATGCTGAATAAACACTTGAGCATGATCAAGTGGCTAGTGGATCGATTGCACATGACGGTGGAGAGTGATAAGGTGATTCACAATATTCGAGAGCGGATGGAAGGGATAAATGTGAACTGACAAATGAGGTAGGGTCGAACGGAGCTAACGGTGAAGATGGATAATCTTGCGCAGAACACTACAGGAAAACAACTCATTTCCGACAGAATTTTCAGCGGAAATAAATTCGTCACAAATTCCGGCGGATTTTCCGGCGGCTTTCCGACGGAAAATTTTCAACGAATTTCCGATAATTTTTTATTGGTTTTCTGACGAATTTTTTTCGAATGCATTTCCGGCGGAATTTCAAACGGATTTTCGACGGAATTTCCGATGCATTTTCGCTGGAAACAGGTTTTGGTTCTTGACTAGATGGCAGATACCGCGGCACTTCCGCGCATGGAGAGATGAGGGGAGGGGTTCGAACCCCACCGAATGCGTGTCCATGGTACACGCGGACAGCCTGGCTCACGTGGGCGGGCAAGGCGGGCTGCGGCGGCTCGGGCGGGGCGGTTCACGTGGGCGGGCAAAGCCGGTCGTGGCTTCAGCGCTGAGCGCTGTGTCCACTGCGTGCGAGCTGGGGTCCTGGAGCAATGGGCCTGTTGGGTGTAACTGATTTTTTTTTCTTGAAATCCGGAGCATTAAAAATTCGACGGAAATATTTTCCAGCGAAAAATCCGTCGGAAATACGTCGGAAATGTTTCCGGCGAATTATTTTATGCCGGAAGTCCTTTTCGACGTGCGTGTAACCGGCGAAAAAATTCCCGCCGGAAATCCGACGTAAATGTAATTTTCTGACGGATTTTGGCCATTTTCCGATGAAAATGTCTGACGAAAAATGACGTTTTTCCTATAGTGGAAGGTGTAGGAGAGCATGTGGTATCAGGTTCGAAATTTTGAATCGGACATTGGCACAGGAGATTCCAACGTGTGGTGTCAAGCTCGTAGAAAAGTAGCAAAGAGGTTTTCTTGGATTGGCTATCTCCGATGAGATGTTGTGCATAGGAGTAGGTTCTTGCGCAGGTGGAGCCGCAAGCACTTGCTAGTACCGCGCAGGTAGGATTGTGCACATGGAGATCGGATCATGCTGTGGTTGGACAAGGGTGTACATACTGAGTGGAGAGCGCAAGGTGCTGTGCAAGGGGTGGACATGTAGGATGTTGGATTGAGGAACTAATTAAAGATCTGTTTAGATCTTTGAGATGGAGCCTCAGGATCATTTAGCTATTGTGTGTCGGAGCAGTGAAGAAAACTGGCAAGATCAAGAACCTCAGGTCTGTAGGTTAGTCTAGGACTCGAAATTAGATGGATGGCTCATGCGAAGTTGCCGGTCAGAGCGAGCACGAGTACCCAGGAAAGATTGGTGAGTTAGAATGTGCTCAATACTAAAGTAGGGGCATGCCAAGAATGAGCAAATGCTCCCTTTAGCTTTACTGTATATATATTATTAGAAAATGAGAGTGAGAGTCAAGTTGATCACTATTTTTTTAATAGATTATACAATCCTATTTACAGGCATTAAGGAAGACCCTTGCCTTATATAATTTTTTTAATTATCAATCATTAATAAGGAAGACCCTTGCCATATATGGTTTCACACATATAATAAAATAGACATGGTAATACTACCCCACAATCTCAAGAAGATATAGAAGTCAACTTTTCATTTGGTATAATCTTGAAATTGCCCAGAATCTTGAGGTTTAGTGAAGCTAATGCTTGTTTCACCCAAGAAGCAATAAATTGAACAAGAAAATAGAATTAGCAAGCTCTCCATGATAGAATTAAAAATTTCAATCTAATTAGTTCTCTTATGGTAGAAATTATTTTGAAAAATGAAGGAGATATCATTTATAGCTGAAATGACTGAGATTCCAAAGAAGAGGAGTTATGTTTAAAGTTAGTAATGTCAGTATGATGGTGAAGATAAGAGGTAAGAGGCAATAAATAGTAGAATTTAAAGATATTTTATGATTAATGAAGAAATGTAAGCATCTTACTTCTTTCATTTTAATGTGTTTTGAAGAACTCTTTTAAAAGCTAAAATTTTAACCATACTATTTATGGTGTTGATTATATCTGCCATATATAGAAGAGGATAATGCAGATAATAGTGCAATGAACAAAAAAATATGATCATATGGTCTATAAGAATAGCCAAGTTTTTTGATTGCGTCACTAAGATTTGCAATTCATGCTTGGAAGATCATTTGAGGTCATAAAGAGTTCATTAGAGTTGACAAATTTTGCTTGAGGGAACATTATGACCAATTGGTAAATGCATAAAAACCTTATTTTAAGTTCACCATTGATGAAAAAGAGGCAAATGATGAAAGGAAATGCCACTATAAGTGACTGCTAATAGGTAAAATAAACTAGGTAGGTGAAGATTTCATTAAACTCAATAGTATACTCTTGCTTACAACCTTTGGCAAAAATATGGAATATAGGATGCTCAAAAGTCCCATCAAAAGAAATTTTTGATTTTGTAGATTTGTTTACATTCAATAAAAAACTTTTCAGAAGAAAAAAAAAACTAATTCTTGAGTATGAGTTTTATGCATGGATTGAAGTTCTTGTTGTGTAGCCTCTTGGCAATGATGATCAAGCTTCAACATAGGGGCGGGTTTGATGAATGAGGAGATAATAGACTAGCATTGTTAATGTTCTTAAAGATATGATAAAGAATTACATTTTCAAGAATGTATGGGTTGTCAAACAATAGGAATTTCTTAAATTGAATGGGTGATGTGTGGCTACATCATTGAAGAGTAGTCCTCCAAGTTTAGGTGATGCAATGGCATTTGATGCATTGATATCAAAATTTGTAGTGACATTAGGAGAAAATCATCAAGTATAAGAGACATAGAGTATGTAGAAGAGGAGATGACGAAGGGAAAAAAACTATGATATTGAAGCAAATATAATATTCTCCTAAAAATTGTGATATATTTTTAGTATAGCTTAAAAAGTAATAAAACAAGCACAAATAAAAACTTAAAGCATAGAGCAATCAAGGCTCTTTTCATAAAGAATATCATATAGGATTGATAGGAACTAATGATGGAGGAAATAGGATTAATGACATAGATTGTTGTAAGGGTAACCAATACTCAATATCATTCAAAATGAGACTACAATGAAAATAACTTGAGTGATGTCAATAATATATCAAAAATTTTCATTTAGCCTGACCAATTTGAGTATAAGTTCTATGACCAAAATATTAGGATATAGTTTCCACCTTAAAAGATAAAGATAGAAGAGACGATTCAAGAGTTATTTGCCACTGTGGGGTCCTATTAAACGATTGTGTGAGGTGTGTCACATTAAGGAGCAACGACGTTTGTTAGGGAGAGATATATGAATCACGTTCAATGAAGTAGGGCTCCAATACAGAATAGCAAGCAAATTATTTTTTCATAGCTTAGATCAAGAAACCAAGATTAGACAACACGATAAGTTCATTTAGCTTGACCAATTTAGCCCCTCAAAACAAACTTAAGCCTCTCTACTAATTTAAAATTTAAGACTAGTCAATATCTGTCTACACTAGTTCACCTTAACTAAGTCTTGATTTTTCCCCATCCTTAATCTTCAAAATCAATTGGAATTTCACCAAACATTGCCTATCACATCTAAAGACATTACCCTAATATTTTCAAGTGGTTTCAAGCCTTCAAATTCCACCATAAAAAACCTTAGATCTAAATCCCTAATGAGGGCCTTAGAATTGTGCATATGACCTAACCACTTGACCGGCCCATTCTTTTCGACCAACACCTAAAATAAAATTAATCCAACCACTAAAAAATTTCTCCAAATTCCTAAACCCCCACCAAGCATGTAAATCTCTTAGAAACCCACAATACAAGGTTAGGTCAAGCTTGAATATAGAAGCGAAGTTGTTGGAAATAGTCGGCCATATGGATTCTAATAACGGGGAAATTGGAAATAGCTTTAGTCAAAATCCTGAGAAAGTCAAAGGATATTGCTTTGATGCCATGTTAAAAAAGAGTTACAGACAAATTGATATCATTTCTTGTATAGAATATAAAATACACGTAAGCTTATTTAGACAAAAGAAGTGAAAAGGAATACAGTTGAGATATATTCATGGAATATTTCAATAATGAATATTGAAATAATAATAATAATGATAATAATAATAATAATAATAACTTACCGTCAGTCATGCGACGGTCATATTTGGCTTATCTGCTTATTAAAACGGTAAAGGTTTGAATCCCTTCAAACAAAAAAATAAAAATAAAATTGACGTAAATGAAAAATTATATGACAAAATCATACTATCCAGGTATGAGGAATGAATAATACGTTTTCAGTAAATCATCGAAAGCTTACAATATAGCTTATGGCAGTTGATCGTAAATTACTGGCATTAAGGTTTCGTTTGGGACGGTTTTTTTATTGCTTTCTAAAACGAAGTTTAGTAAATTTTTTTTTTTTATTTTTTATTAAAACTCCGATTTAATAAGCACTAAAAAAAGCCGTTCCAAAGGAAGCCTAAATCTTAGCTGCTAAAATGGTTAATAATTCTTCAAGAAAATGCACTTGATTCTATGATCGCTAACATAATTAACCGAGAATTAAGCATTCCTTTGTAAAATAGTATTTTGATTATATGATTAGTTTAAAGTGTATAAATTAATCTGGACGGAAAACATGATTTAATTTCTAAAAATGACTAATATTGTGGTTAAAACATTTACCCAAGTTACAAGCCTGGAGCCTTCCTCAATAAATGATTCATCAGTTGGTCTTTTTCCCGTAAGAAGTTCAAGCAAGACAACGCCGAAGCTGTAAACGTCTCCTTTTGTTGTTGCTCTGCCTGTTTCGAAATACTCTGTCAAAGAAAACGACATAAGTTGCTCTGTCATGAAAATGGAAAATATAGATTTTTAAGATGGAAAAATTGCAGTCCTAACCTGGAGGTAAGTAACCGAAAGTTCCAGCAACCATTGTTGACACATGAGTTTGATCTGGTTCCATCATCGTTGCCAAGCCAAAATCAGACACCCTTGCATCCATGTTCTGATCCAGAAGTATATTGCTTGATTTTATATCCCGGTGGATTATGTGAGGAATGCAATCATGATGAAGGTATGATAAACCCCGAGCAGCTCCAACTGCAATTCTGTACCTTGAAGGCCAATCAAGAGGTTTTTCTGCAGCTGATTTCCCTGAATATTTATACAATTCATAAGATAACTGAAGTTGTAAGGAAAAAAGTCCGGTCTTCAGAGAGGACAATCAACATTACCATGAAGTAATGCATCCAAACCTCCATTTGGCATCAACTCGTATATAAGAAGATTGAACTGTGGTGCAATATAGTATCCGTGAAGAGTAACGATGTTCCTGTGCTTTATGTCTCCCATGGTATTGAGCTCTCTCTCAAACCCAAGATCCTTATTGTCATTTCCCTTGTTGAGCCTCTTCACAGCGAAGGCGGTGGTTTCATCCACAACTAATTTATATACTGTGCCGTATCCTCCAGAACCAATAATATCTTTGTTAGTTAGCTTCATAGTCTTCTTCATAAGAGCTTTGGCGCTGAGAGCTTGAGTTGTTGGCGATCGAAACAATACCATCTTTCCACCTGTCTTCAAGAATCTTAGTGCTCTGATCTAATTAACAGTGCGTTGAGAATATGAACGATAACCTTGCAACTACTTTAAAAACTAACCTGACAAACTATCTTCAATTATCCTTCGCTTTCGTACCCATCTTTTGTAGCAGAGGAGGGAGATAATGATCTTCGATATGATGAAAGCAATACAGCAGATCGTAATGTAGAACACCAGTGGAGGTGAACTACCCATATTTTCAAAAAGAAATTATTCCACAACTCAGCTAGATGCCAATTTGGCCTCTGAGATTAAAAAAAAATATTGCAAGTGATGATTTCTGTTCTTGATATCATAAAATCTCACAAAAATTGACTTGGAAATGCTGTGTATGTGCAAATGATGAACTAGTACAAATGCTTTTACACCTCATGCAAGAAGTAGCTTCCTTTCCATAGAAGGGAGTTGACGAAATGATTTTTGAGCAGATTTTCAGTACATTACATTTCGCGTACATTTCGCGTACACCAACAGCGAATTGAATAACCGCTGTGTTCCGAACCAAAAGTCAGACTCATCGGCTTCACTTCTGGTTGACCGCCTCTCATAAGCTCGATGTTGCGAAGCAAAAGTCAGACTCATCGGCTGCAAATCTTGTTGACGGATTCTAGAGGGAGGTATGTACACCGCAATTATGTGTCGGTGGCTGTGGCAGGTGTAAAATGCATCAAGCTTATCGCGGAGTCATGTGAATGCTCTGAACTTAATTATTGCTTCTTAGCTTCGCTAATGAGCTGGCTTTGTCTACTTTATTTTTTTAAGTGCTCGACTAAATAATTGATATTTGACTCTTAGGCTCTTAGCTAAATATTTCCAGTTACGTAATATAAAAAAAAAATAAAATAAGAAGTTTTTGTTAAATAATAATAATTAGTATTTAATTTGATGAAAGATAAATCCGTAGTAATATTTAGTGAATTTTTATTCCGTATTTTATTATTGATATTTTTAATTTCGTTTATTTTGAGTCAAATTTTAAAATATACATTGAAACAGCATTTAATTGAAATAAAAAGGGAAGATAATGAAAAAGATTTTAGTCAAGTGGGTGGGGTGACAAGGCCCGTGAGTACCACCGTGCCTTTAGACTGTACGTTAGGTATACTTACTGTCAACATGCAAGCGTTCATTACGGTCGCCATTAAGACTTCGCAATGTACAGGTGGCTGGTTCCGAAACACGAGCTTCAGGGCCGTGATGCGGGGAAATATTTTATTCGTATTGTGTTAAAAATTTAAACTATTTATTAGGGGTTTCTACTTATATAACATTTAAAATTATTATAATTACATACCTAATATCTAAATTTTATTATTTACTCTTCTATCACTTTTCTTTTTTTTTTGACGAAATGCATATAGCAGGATTTTATTAGAAATAGAAAATTACAAAAAACTAAGTGATCACAGTCCTCCTTGAGTATGGAAAAAAAAAATAGGAGAACCTTATTACTACTAAGATCATCCCAAAAGAAATCAAAAGAGCAAGCATAATTAGCACAAAAGTCCGCTAATTTATTGCTATTTCTATGAGCAAAGTGAAAAAGAACTTGATTGAACTCTACTAGGAAAGCAAAATCCAAGTTACCTTGAATTTCTTCATCACCTGTTTGTTTATTAAAGTTTTTTTTTTGAAAAAATCAATAATATTTTTATTGTCACATTCTATGATGATCCCCTTGTAATCATATCTGCCTTGAAGGATAAAAGATTTTATATAAAGTATAGCAGACATTTCCATTTGAGCTGGATCCCAATGCTTACATTGGATACCGAATGCACAAAGAATCCTCTATGGTCCCGGAAGACACCGCCTATACCAGCATTGTAATTACTTTTTACAGAAGCATCTATATTCAATTTGATCCATTTAGTTGGAGGAGGAAACCAATAATTTGACAGCTTTGAGGGCTGGTTAGTTTCCCAATTGACCGAATTATCTTTAAAAGAAGCTACAGCCATGTTGATAGCTGTAGCTGCTAAGTAAGAGGTGATGTCCTCCTTTCCTCCATGAGTTACATTGTTCCTATTGATCCAATTTATGAAGACTGCAGAACAATAGATGTTACATATAATCTGTTCTTTAAGGGCCATCATCTTTAAAGCTTTAGAACAATCTTCAAATGATTTGAAAATGGGTACAGAGAATCCCCAGCTTCTAATGACATTGAAAATTTGAATCAGTTTTTGACAATTCAACGCAACATGGAATTGATTTTCCTTAGAATTGCAACCTATCGGGCAGATCTCAATCCTTGACAGACTTCTGTGATTCAGGAAGGCATTAGAAGGAATAGCATTAATGCTAAGTCTCCACCAAAAAACACTTACACGCGGTATGAGCTTAAGGTTTTTCCTCCATTTCCAAGTAGGATCTTCACTTCCATAAGAACAAGATTTATTAGAAATTAATGCTGAGATAGATTTACCTGAAAACTTGAATAAGAGTTCTAGTTGATCTTCATTTAATTCAGGAAAAATTGGAACCTTGTCGATTATTTCAATTAAATCAGGTCCAAAGAAGAGTTTAAGTTTTTCAGCATCACAAACTCCTTCATTGATAAAAGATCCAGATTTTGGATTTCCTCTCCCAAATATGCTATAAAGGTAGGCCAATTCGAAATAGATTTATCATAAATCTAAACATCATGCAAGATGTTGATATTAATCTTCCACCTTAAGATATCTTTGAGAGCTTGAAAACTACTGATGATGATTTTGACTGTTGGAGAGCTATGATTTTTCTGCTTAAAGTTCCATGGTTGATTTCCATATTTGGCTGTCAAAATTCTGTATAGAGTAGAGGATGAACCTGAAATAAGTTTCCAAGCAAACTTAGCTCTTAGAGAGCTATTTTTAGAAACCAATGAATGTATACCTTGCCCTCTCAAATTAAGAGGCTTGCAAAGAACCTCCCAAGAAACATAATGCATCCCTTTATACCATCATGTTTGTTCCAAAGGAAATCCCTACACATTTTATCTAGTTCCTTGAGTATGCTCAAAGGAACTAAAGAGTGAGAAATGTGATAGATAGGGAATGATGAAAATATGGATTTCACAAGAAGAATCTTCCCTGATAATGAAATGTATTTGTTGCCCCAAACATTCATATATTTATTAGCTTTGTCCAAAAGATGGTAGAAATCCATTCTAGAAGTTCTTCTCAACAAAATTTTGATCCCAAGATAATTAAGTTCTTGAACCACTTTGAATTTCAGGATTTTAGACAATCTCTTCCTCCTCCTTCTATTAACAGAATTCCCAAAAAGAATAGAAGATTTTTGGATGTTGATTTTTTGTCTGGTCCACTTACAATATTGTTCCAGAATTTCTTTTGCTTTAAAGTCACTTTTCCCATTAGCTTCCAAGAATAGAACAATGTCATCATCAAATAGTAAAAGAGGAATTTTCTCAACTTTAGGAGTTATTTTAATGCCCAAGTTCTTTCCATTTTGCTTCACCAAATTAGAAAGCAGTTGAGAGCATAAAATGAAAAGAAAGGGAGATAGAGGGAAACCTTGACTAAACCCCCTTTTGGCTTTCAATCCAATCCGAATTATTACCATTAATGATAATAGAAAATTTTGTATCAGATACACATTGGATGAGAAAGTATGTAAACTTATCTGGAACTCCCAAATTCCTCAAAACTTGAGTAAGGGTTGACCAACCCATACTATCATATGCTTGTTCCATATCTATTTTGACAACCATAATCCCTTTTTAGATTTCGAGAATCTAAATTTGTTACAAATTTCATGGGCTAACAGAATATGCTCAGAACTAGATCAACCTTTAATAAAAGCTGCTTGATCTCCAGAAATTAGTTTTGGAATAATCCCCACCATTCTGTTCAACAACATCTTGGCTACCAACTTATAGATAGATAAACAAAGACTTATAGGTCTAAAATTAGAAGGAAGCATCGGGTTATCAATTTTTGGAATTAGGACAATAAAATTTTCCTTCCAACTAGGACTCATAATTCCTAGATCAAAAAAAGATTGTATAGCCTTCCAAACATCATTTTTTATGATAACCCATAAAGATTTGATAAATGAGTAAGAAATCCCATCAATACTGGAGAAATATTGGATTCTAGATGTTTCACCACTTCTTCCAATTCTTCAATCTTGAAATCGTTAAGTAGAAATTGTTTGTGTGTATCATTAAGAACATTATACGGTTTAGGCCATCCAGAGAGGCAACAATCCTTTTCATCCCATTTATTACTGAAAAATTTGAAGAAGATGTTTTCAATCTCCACTTGAACAGCTATTACTCTCCCATCTTCTCCTTTAATCTGATGGATCCAGTTAGAATTCCTTCTTCCTGAAGCAAATGCATGAAAAAACTTCGTGTTTAAATCACCGTCTTTCAGCCACTTCGTTTTTGCTCTTTGCCTCCACTACAAATTCAGGCGAGATAATGGTAGTGTTTAAATTAAGAACTTTGGCTTTCAGCTACTGTAGTTTCTCTTCAGATAATCCACCTGATTTGGCTTCTTCATATTGCAATTCCAAAATCTCTTTCTTCAGATTTTCTTTAAGCAACATTTAGTCCTGATGTTGGTTTTTGCTCCAATAATAAAGAGCTTTTAAAACTGTTTTAAACTTCTTATTCAAAGAACTTGTTGGATCGCCTATCATATTCTTTCTCCAAGAATTTATGACTATGCCCATTGAAGCAGCATAAGAAGACCACACTTCTTCATACCTTATAAACCAATTTTTCGAGCAGTTGGATTAAACAGATTGAGTAGGATGGTGCAGTGGTCAGACGCTACCCTTGGAAAATGTTTAATGAATGGATTTTGAATTGTTTGCAAAGCCGCCGGGTTCAATAAACATTTATCTAATCTCTCCATGATTCTAGCTCCCCCTGATTTGTTGTTACACCAAGTGTACCTTGGTCCAATAAATTTTAATTCATGATACTCACATGAACTAATAAACTTACTCAAATCTTGGACACCTTGAGTAAATTTGAATTTTGCCCTCCTAGCTTATCCTTTTGAGAAGAAAGGCAGTTGAAGTCTCCTCCAATAATAATGGGTAAGTTTGAATTGGAAATCCCTTCAAGAGTGTTCCATAAGCTCTTCCTTCTGAATGAATCATTGCTTCCATAAATTAATGTTATAATCCAGGTCCCTTTGTTATGAATGTTCAATTCACCAATAATGGCTTCAGAAGATGTTACCAAGGTGGAGAAAGAAGCAAGATCCTTCCCACCTGAAAGGCCTTAAGCAGAGACTGAATAAAAATTTCGAACATTTCCTATGAATTTATCACAATCCTTTCTATCAAATGAAGAAATCTTGGTTTCAGATAACCCAACAAAAACCAAGTGTTGGTGGATCTAGAATAAGCTCTAAGGTCTAGTTCTAGGAAAGATCCTAAGGTCTAGAGTGGATCCTAGGGTCTAGGATTAAATCTGGATTTTGGATGGGTCTTAGTGACCTCATACAAAAATGAGGTCAACACCAAGTCATTATCTTTGATACATTCCTTTAAGTAGTGGGAGGCTTCCTTTTTTTTATCCCCCCTACAATTCCAAAAAATTAATGAAGTCATGATTGATAAG